GAGAGAGAGAGAGAGAGAGAGAGAGAGAGAGAGAGAGTTGGGCATCAAATCAATGTCACATCAAATAACCGAATAAACAGTAAATTTTATATATTTGAATAAAAGCATAAATTATTCAATAAAAACAAAAATTTCAATCATTTGAATCATATTCTTAATCGATTGAACAAAACTTGTTTATAAGGAATCGATGAGAGATAAATATCCGCAAATAATTTTTTATTCAAATAATTTTCCATAATATGAACGATAAGTGTAGTCACGAGTAATCTAAACATTACGTAAAATGCAAATTCAAAACACCTTATATAGTGTGTGCCCATCGTTGGCCCATATAATCAATTTTAATGACTTAATCATAAATATGTAATACCTGTTGACAACCCTTTTTCCAAAATCCGCCTCAACTCTCATAAAACTAATGGTTTGTAAAAAGTTTTTCCAACTATACTGTCAAAAACTATCAGTTACTTTGCGCTCAATATTTATTTTCTTCATTCAAAAACACTAATCAAATTCAGTTAAGTTTATACCGTATTTATATCTATCATATGCTTGATATTAAAAGCATTTTTGGATTTGACGGTTACCTTCGCACCGGACGGTAGCGTTGGGCTCCTGTTCCTTATCGGCAGTCCTGAGTATTTTAAGCCAATCTCCCGACTCCTCTTTGAGGCGAACCGTAACCGTCGAGTCGTTGTTCGCATTGTTTTCATCGCAATGATTGACAACTTTGTTGCTACAGTTGTCGGCCGTTTGCGATCGACTACCGGCGCCCACTATCTCAGCCCTGAACGGACCGAAAGTTGTGTTTTTGTCCAAAAGTTTTTTGGCGCAAACGATGTAAGAGTAAATGCCATCGTTTTGGTGCTCATCGCTAGCATCCGATGTCAACGGCGTTAATGTCAGCACATCTTCGGGTAAATGTAAGAGCTCTGCCGTTTCGGACATACATTCAGAGGGAGAGCCTGTTTGGAGATAATTACCACAAAAAAATCAATATCAATTCAACAAATCAAATGAAGTCTTTAAAGACAAAAATAAAGTTTAAAAACATTGAATAAATATAGAGATTATTTCATTTGATATGTTTGGCGTCTCATTCGTCACAAATAGTTTTTATTTATGACTTTTGGCAGCAAATACAGTCTAAACTCGCTTAAAGTCAAGCCTTAATCTCAACAAATTAGTACAGTTTATGTCCTGAAAACGTATTTCCATATAATATATGCAGAAATATTTTACTAATAGTTTGTTAATTGATTGTAAACTACGAGGAATGCACAGACAGAGGACTGGGAGGTTATGGTTTCTATAGGAAGTACATTAAAAGAGTGAGAGAGAAAAGTGTATTAAAAAGCATAAGAATAATGATGTGTTGAATGGGATAATGGAGGGAATGGACGACAGGACACGCACTCTGACAGAGGATATTGGAAAACGTCGATAAGTATAGCGATTGCTATTACGCGAGACATACGACTAGAAAACGGACAAACATTTGGATGAGACGGCAGAGGAATGACTGGAAAGTGTGTGTATTTTGTGCACCGATTCTCGTGTGTCGACGGGAATGGATGAATGAAATGCCAGTCGACTCGCGATATGTTAGGCAAAGATTGAGTGAATGAGAGGAACGACTCAAATGAGGAAACAGTGACGAGAGATGTGAAGAGAAATGAAACGAAAAGATCTATTTGTTCGAGCAATACGTGCGGAGGATATCCAACGCAAACACATATCCAACAAGAATCGCCTTTTTATATAAAACACATTTGATATCAAAAGTGAAATTATATATAAAACGTTCAAAATATCAAAACAGAAAAAACATTTTCCCTTTATTTCCGTCTATTTTGTTGTCAAAAGAGATCGAAACGAAATAATAGATATTCTCAACAAAACTATTCTTTCAAAAGTATTTAGTTTTTACAAAAATATCCCAAACATCACGTCATTTAGCAGTGAATGAATACAAAAACATGTTTTTCTTTGATTAGTTTTGCGATTCAATTGCAAAAATTATTTATAAAAAGTCTGAATACTTATCTCAAAATTAATCATTACTTTTGATTAATAGATTTATCGTATGAGTGATTAATAATCAATTTATTTCTAATTTAAAAATCAGAGAAAAATTAGTAAATAGTAAAAAAGTTTATATTGACGTAGAAATTAATAAGTTGTTAAGAAATGTCGAAATGGAAATGAAAAGCAATGAATCATTTATAACTCGTCGCATAATAGCCTAACACTATCACCAATTGTATGAATATATCGATAAAATTCTGTATAATATTCTTAGGATGTGTGCAAAGTGTGTGTATATTCTATGTGCAGACTCTCGTAGAGAATATTCTTATATTCCATGAAATGTATAGCATTTAGAAAACAGTAATAATACAAACATTTTGTGCATTAAATAATAGACACAAACAGTGATGGGAGGGAATGAGTGAACGACACACTCGACTGAACACAAGTCACAAATGATGAACAATAACAACAAGAAGTGAGAGAAAGAGCTAATCAATGGCTCACAAACACACGGCTGTATGACATACCGGCGCTCCAAGGAAGCAAAAGCGCACATATATTTTCCAATCAGTTACGTGACCGACTCGATCATCATATAGTGACACATATGAAAAAACATGACTACATTCCGCATCAAATAATTTTTAGTTATTATGATTACATTTCTCTATATATCATCAAATGGTTAGACCTATTCTCGAGAGTCATCAGTGACAGGGATAGCGCCGGCAGAGCACTGGCAGCTCACGAGAAGCGCTTATACACACAAACACTTAATAACAAGTAGGTTCTCGTGTTTGTATATACAGTATATACAGTATATACAGTATATACGGTATATATCGATAAATATATGGTCTAAATGTATATAAGTATCCAGAAGTGACGCGATTTCCAAACAACTGGAATATCAATCAGCAATAAATGGCAATTTATGGCCAATACTATCGCACCGCTCAGAGTCTGTACGAGAAAAAAGTTGTTTAACTGAATGTTATTCAGCGATATATTGAAGACATTTATTTTTGCCTAATATTCTGAACACGAAAAGCATTTTTTTGTAGCAAACACTTGTCTCGCGATATGAGAAGCAAATCGGAGGTCAATATTATATATATATTTATTTATTTTATCGCAACTTTTTCAGTGGCTATACTTAAATAGCCTTTAAATAGGACCTGGATGGCCATTTAATTTATTTTGCCAAATGCTATTTATTATCTATATTTTTATTTTACTTTGTGTTGTGTTTGTTGTTTGTTATTGATGTCGATGCGGAACGGTATCAATAAAACGAAATAAAAACCCATAAAAAAGTCTCTAATGATCGCAATCACACTATCATTCAATTTTAAAACTAATAAATAAATAAATAAAAAGAATTATTTATTTGATATATTTTTCTGTATATTTGAGTCAATAAAATATATAAAATCACAAACTTTTTGTAACCCATTTTTCTTACGAATGATAACATTTAAACATTATTTCAATTGAAACATAATTACTCTCTCTCTCTCTCTCTCTCTCTCTCTCTCTCACTCACTCACTCACTCACTCACTCACTCACCACTCAATCATACAAAACACAAAAACTTTTCGTTTTCATGCCTTAACTCAACTGTTTATCAAATCGATAATAGCTTTAAATTAATTAATTAAAACAATTTCTGGAAATTTTGTTTTTTGTCAAATTCGTGGCAAAGAATCAAATTGTTTGATAGAAATGAATGAATAACTACACCGTTATCACCAATACTGTACCGCGAATGACCCCGGTGCTCTCATTAGACAACAATATTCACTGTTCAGTCGCTTTAGCCCACACTTTAACAGACAATTCAGATATTATATGAGAAAAAGGAGTTTTATTTGTCTGTAAAGACCAACAAAAATAATAGATAAGCGACTAAATAGTCATTTGAAAGGCACCAGAATTTCGTTTATTATTATTTATTTTTTTCGATGCCATTGATTGATAAGAAGCTAAACTGCAAACGGAATTTGACTGTATTTTATCAATCAATTACTTTAAATGGTTTACAAAAAATTAGTTTTATCTCATTTGGTCTAAAAATTGTTGTGCGGCTACGCTCTGGTGCGACAGAGACCTGAGTTTTGCCAATAGTTAAAAGGTATAGATTATGAGCTATAATACACCGATAGGTATAGGCGCTCGATATTACGGGCACCGATATGGTGTGCACCGGTATGGCTGGCTGTTTGGTGAACTCCAGATATGATAATCATTTGCACACATAGTATAAGTATATGGAAATGCATTGATTTCTGCAAATGCAGTGTAACTTAAAGTCCGGGAAATGACAAATAATTAAAATAATTATTTATTGCAATTATGATTTGTATGAATGTTATAATAACTTTTTTGTCCTCTATTTCTGTTATCGGCTTTTCATATAATATAATAAATGTATTAGTTTTTCATTTTTATCGAAACTAATTAATCAATTAAGTGATTGGTTTTCCACTGAAAATTGTTATAAAACTGTTAGTATTAGAGTATTTCATGAAACAAATACATTTGAAAAGCTTATCGCAAAACAATTTTTGTTATAATACCGATTTTTGCTATAATTATTTCATTGCTATAATAATGATAATAAAAATTAATTAATTAAAAAATTATTGATAACAATCTGCATTAAAAACATTAGATTTGTTTAGAAAAATAAAAAGTTCATTATTTAAAGGAAACAAAACATTTAAAAATCTAATACTAATATCTAAATGAGTGGAAAAGTGGTGTTCAGTATATGTGTTGTAAAATTAGTTTGTTTTAAAAAGCGAAACAATATATTTGTAGCGATAAATGAGTGAAAAATTGAATTTTATTAAAATTTTGAGCTCACAATCAGTAGAATATATTATAATCGCTGTATATATGAGTTATAATAATAATAATCGTTATAATAATAACTTATAAACCGGTGAATAATTCGTCGATTAGTTGAAAAGAGAGGTTCAATAAATCACAATAGGATGTGAGGCTCTGTGCGGATATTATTTAGGGCATCCCATAGCCATAGCCTAGGCTGTAATAGGCATCGGCATCATGACTGAGTGAGATAAGAGAGAGCGAGAGAGAGAGAGAGAGAGAGAGAGAGAGAGAGGCTGCGAGAGATGAGCTGAGAGCACATACAGCTGAGCACACACTACACTACAGCCAAACGCCAATTGCAGCCATAATATTGTTATCTATTATTTTTGCGCTAAACAACCACATATTTGCTGATATAACACAACAACCATCCACTAAATACTTTCCCCCAAAACAGTTAAACCATTTTTGCAATTCATTCTCATCTCACATCTCATTCTTAGCACATCTCTCTCTCTCTCATCACTTATGTTACAGTAGTTGTATTGACCCTTAAAATTATTTTATATTAACATTCACTGACGCTATTATAGCATTATTTGTGAATTGTATACAACATATAGTTTTATATAATCTATATTTTAATACAAATATAATACTTTTTTATGTAAATACATTTTATGATACAAATCAGTAGTAATTAATTGAATCTCATTATCAAACTCTGGGCTGTGTTTCGGACTCTATGTTTGTCTGTCATTCTTAGACATGAAAAATGAAATATTTCTTTATTTTAAACTAAAATTAATATCAGTTTTTAGATTGTGTCAGATTTTATATAATTAAAAAATCATTAATACTTATCATTAATTAATATTCTCTCTCTCTCTCTCTCTCTCTCTCTCTCTCTCTAATAGGAAAAACTTTTTGTTATTAAGTTTGAGAGTTTGAGAGTAACATTAAGACCGGAATATTCATTGGACTCAAGGATTGATTGAATAAAAACTTTCATCTCTTTCTAAAACTAATCCATTAATTAAAACAATGAGATATTCAGTGCTTTCTCTCATATCTGTGTCTCAAATCAAATCATTTACTAAATTATT